ACTACAATATGCAGCACTCCTCTGTACTCACTGTAGAACATGTTAACCATCTGTGTCACTTCTAACAGCTTCTATTTTGTTATTTTTGGAGTTTGTTTTGAGGTGGTGTGTGATTTTTTTCTCTTTATTGATTTTTTTTATAATGGTGTGAAAGACATGACTGAAAGAGCTAAAGAGATGTTACACAACAACAGTCCAGGGCCACATTTGTAAACACAGGGCGTTACCGTTACATGACGTTCGCCGCAGCCTACCGAGCCACCGGGACGCTCTCAACTCTGCTGGCTTCATCCAATTATGTGCATCCTCAGTCTGAGGAGATACGAGAGTTTATTATCGCTCAGTAACGAGGAAGCCGGAGCACCGTCGAACCCATTAAAAAGACAGGAGAGGAGAAGTTTGCGCAGACTTTGAAAGCAACAGTTGTTAAATAAAACATGGATGATGTGGGCACCTTTCACAGCCCCTGCAGAGGCTCTTATCTGATTTTTCTTGTCATAACCAGGTAGGTGGGAGGAGGAGGAGGAGGAGGAGGAAGCATCCTTATGCAAGACTACAGTCTCCCTGTGCAATCTCTACGAGGGAGCCTGTAAAGGAGTTAGTGTGTGCAGAAGGGTCCCCACCCTGCCGACTCCCTGTCGGCCCCGGTCCTCTCACTCCCTTTCATTCCCCATTAATCCATGATGGTGCCAACATTAGCAGATGACTTGTTAACTAAACTTCACATTTTGGCCAAGAGGGACGTGGCTGAAGCAGTGGTGTTTGAATTAATAAGAGATTTAAGAGAATGTGGAATTTGAGTCCTCATCTGACGAAACCTAAGCTAATACGATGGAGGATAACTGTCGGCATGAGGGAGGAAGCGGCTTTTACAAAGGTTAAATAACGCTGAAATGATGCTCTAAATGGCAGTGTGAGTTTTTCCCAAACACATTTTTGATGCATTAAAGTGCTCCGTCCAACTCTTAATATACATGTGGAGCAATATCCTCCGTCCATTACCTGCAACACTTTCAGTATTGATGTGAGGAGGTTCAAGTCGAGTTCAGATAAACAAGCACCTTATCAGGTGCTATGTCATCTCTGGTCCCAACTGAAGTGCACTGCCTCGAGATATTTATTATTTGACTAAACAAACTGGAAAAACCACAGAGCGAGATGACGACTGTGCAAACCACTTCACAGACGTCACTGTCCTCGCGCATTAATTGCATTCATTAGCATAAGATCTAACGCACGCAATCAGCCAAGTTACAGTTGGAGAGTTGAGGTATCAGTGCTGATCCTAACTAATTTATCCCTGACCTGATTCATAAACATCCTATTGCCTTTCAGTGTTTTGATTGAGCAAAAATTACATCAAGAAAAAACATGAGGAAGATCCTCAAGCACTCTGCTGAAAATGCATACGAGTGCTTCTTTCGATATTTCAAGGACCGACCCATTTCATGCCATTAGCCTACAGCAATCTCCGTGATGGAAGCCCAGTGGTTCATTCTCCCAGATATTATTCTCCCCTCCGTGATGCCGTGTGAGCTTAAGAGGCGTGCACATAAAAAGGTAAGTTCTAACAACATGAATAATGCACATCGTTTGCCGGGGAATCTGACAGAGCTGTGTATATCAGATTCACACAATGCTCAATGACTCCAGGATAACTGCCGGCATGAGTAAAATGCATATAAGCCAAATAAGATATTCACAAACAATGGATACCATCCCCCCTGATAGACATAGCGAGCCTTATGCAGGCATATTTGATCATTTTCTGGATTCTGCATTAAAAGCTAATCGTATTAATGAGGAAGATACTAAATTATAGAGCAGTGGTTAAGCTGAGAGGCCCAGACCAGGGAGACGGTGGCTTTTTGCCAGAACAGGCAGCCCTCTTTCATGACAACACACTTAAACCTCATTAGATTGGCTCGAAAGGATCCTCTCACTACAAACTCCATTTCGAGCTAATTAAATTGATTCGTGAAATCAAACGCGAAACATTAAAGGACGAAACATTAATACACTGACAGCAATTTCATCATACTTTGTAATTGCTACAAGCAGGTTGAGTGTACACCTCTTTCACTGCATAAAGGCAAACACTAAACCGCTGTGAAACTATCAACATCCAACCGATTAATGAAACTGGCAAGCATTACAAGCAGTGGTGTATAGTAACGAAGTAGAAATACTTCGTTACTGTACTTAAGTCATTTTTTTGGATATCTGTACTTTACTTTCCTATTTATATTTCTGTTGACTTTTACTTTTACTTTACTACATTTTGCAAAGAAAACTGATACTTTGACTCCGATACATTTCCCCTGAAACCTTCGTTACTCGCTACAAAATCAAATCTATCTTTAGAAACAAAATGAATCATGAGACCAGCGTCGGGGACTGTGGTGGAACAGAGACTGCAAGCTAGCAGGTTTGGTGAATCAGTTAAATCATTGGTTAATCACGTTAATGCGCAAAACAAGTGCTCTCAAAGCCGCGGTGTTTAGATTCCCAGTGATGCCCAGGATGCTATATGCTATAGCTAGCGAGCGACAACACGAGCAGAATTCCACACAGGACGGGTGGGATGAGGAGAGGTGGATGGGTCAAACAAACACTGGTGTTTCCTCCAGGAGGTCGCAGTTTGTGCCGTGCGTGAAACGAGAAGCCAATGTTGATTTATTTGTGACGTGACTTCCGTACTTAAGCAACGCCACTTCCGTAGATATTTTAACGCAAACCACAATATTTTCCTAAACCTAACTAAGTAGTTTCATCGCCTAAACCTTAGTTGTTTCCTGTGAAGATGGAAGTTTATTTTGAAAAGACAGTATGCATGCAACAAGCGAAAACAGACTCATGTTGCTGGACTTTTGCAGGAAAAACGCACGAAAAATGAGGAGTAACATTTCGTAAGATATCAATAAAACGGGGATGAATTTATATCATTGTATAAAGAGAGTGACATAAGATCAATCTCATGTCTGTAAGCTAAATCAGCTATAATCACTCTTTTAAAGTGATTAGTGACTCGTCTAAAACATTTAAAAAAGGAATAACTTCAATAGAATCATTCTATACAATGTAGCTTCTTTACATTCTGATAGAATGTAGCTACATTCTATTAGAATTGTCTTTTCCAGTAATGACTGGGTTGTTACTTTCGGTGCTGCTTTAGTATCGATCATGTTTTGATATTTGAGTCATTTAGTGGATGATCAGATGGAGTTATGATGGTAGCAGTCGCCCAATTGCAGATTCAGCTTGAGCAAAACCTTTGCCTATTGTGTTCAAATCAGGCCCATAGGAGTTTACAAGGCAGGCGTCCTTTCTCACAACACTGACCTGATGCATCAAGTGGATATTTTTTGCTGAACACAATATTATGCATTTGCCCTCTACATCCTCTACAACTCCTTCATAGTGTCATATTGCTTTTCGGAGAATTATGATGATAAGTTCATAGTAGATGCAAAAGTATACTTATGTACAATATATTATGTTGAACATTGTTGCTCCTGGATGGATCACAGCCAACCCAATTATTTCCAACACAGCTCCATGTCCTTGGTCATGGTGCCACAGCACTTAAAAGAATAAACTTCATAATTCTCAAAATTCTGACCCTTTGCTTTTTTATTAACAGCATTTACTTGTACTTTGACTTTCAATACTTAAGTACATTTAATATCAGAAAATTACTTTTGATACTTAAGTACAATAAATATCAGATACTTTAAGACTTTTACTCAAGTAGTATTCCAATAGGTGACTTTTACTGGAGTAATTTTCCAGTAAGGTATCTTTACTTTTACTCAAGTATGGCTTTTGGCTACTTTATACACCACTGATTACAAGTTATAAAGTGTTAATGTATAATAATGTGAACCAACTAGAGATTTTTTTTACGCATAGGAAGGAGAAAGTCACAGCCTCATCACGGCTACAATGTAAAGCCCGTTTCTGCAGAGCGTCGTTTAAGTGCCTCCTCAGAAATTAAAACTATATGTCCGCAAGATACAATTATTAATTTGATATATCTGGATGTGAAGGTCAGCATAGAGTAACCATCCCCTGTTTATTAATGTTTACGTGGAAGTCCTCAAGAAAGATATTCTGGTGTCGACCAGGGATGATTCATCCGTTGACATATACATATCAATCCTCCAGATACACTTATGCAATGAGTCTTAGGTGTGCAACTAATCACGCAAATGAATGCTGCATTATGTTTTAATGTACCAGTATCCGGATCCAGGTACTCATTGGTGTTGTTTACTGGGACACTTTAATGGAGTCATTGCCAAGGCTATTAGTCACACCATGTGCCTTTCTTGCAACGTTATGTCCAAATATGTTCTGACAGAATGCAATCATAGTGACACCTGACAAGTCAAAATGTCTGAAATGAAAATAAGGATGCAAGATCAAAGCTACGCCCTACATCTAAACCGTATGTATTGAAGTATTCAGGCAGTTAGTACTCAAAAAATGAATGCAGCTACATTTTGTAATGACATTTGACTTGGTAATGCTACAGGCAAAATGCATTTGGACACAACAAAGCAAAAATGAAAAAAAAAAAAATGTTTGTCCAAAGTTTTAATCCCCACACTTTGTATTTTCAGAGATACTTCTGGAGCTGTCTCATCATCACCACCCACAGCTGCTTTTGATATTTTGTAGCCGTGAGCAGCTCCTCCATTACATATGTGCACTGCATTGTGGGACAATGGTGTTCATCAACAGCACACTTCAAAATCATTTAGTATGCATACTGACATTTTTGAGCACACTTAATATTGTCACTTTTTCAGTGTGAATATTATGCATTCTCCAACCATGTTTAGAATTAGTATGCGGAGTGGGATGGTGATACAGCATTAAAGTGGTCTAGAGACTGAACTCAACAATGGCCCAGGACTCATGTTTGGAGTACACTCCATAGTTAGGGCTCGCTGACGTTCAACAAAAGATGGCCTTTGAGTCAAAAAAAGAATTACCTTCATGGAGTTGGGGCGACCGTTGAAGGGCTGCGGCTCTGTGCAGAACACCGTGTTGTGGTCCAGCCGTCCGTGACCTCCATACAGAGCCTCATCTGAATCCAGCTTGATTTTGTATCTGACAAAGATTGACGTTAAGGTGCAATAGCAGTGGGAAACTAGATTATAAGATCTAAGACGTAAGAAGCACAGGAGAAGGTTTTATCACTAGTGCTTTTGGTGTTCAGACTTGGTTTAGCAGTGCTCAGCTGGTTTATATTCATTGAAATCCTCGCATCCATCAGCATTCATCTCCCCTTCGCAGCACTACAAAGTGACAGAGCGGAGCCCTAACAGACAAAGAGAACGTTGCCTGAAATGAACATAAATACAAAAGTGATTCAGCCATGGCTCAGCCATCCTGCCTGCCTGTCTAATTTATCCACTTCACTGCATAAATAATGATTTAATCAAAAAAGGTGATCCATATGACTGACAACAAAAACACCGTCTCGAAAAAGTATCCACTCATCTAGGACTTTTTCATGTTTTGTTATTTGAGTCACGGTGGTATAATTAAGCTTTTTTGACACAGAATAAGAAAAATAACTCATTAATGTCAAACGGAGCAAATCACTACAAATGGAGCCAAATAAAGTACAACTTAACATGTAAATGACAAAGTGTTGAGGTGGATATTTGGTGAAGGCACTAGAAGGCATTTCTGCATTCAAGTCTGATACTGATCCAACAAACTGCAGAACAAAAATCTCCTTTTTTTACTATAGAAAGACTGTATACTTTATGTACCGGATATTTATCATGCACACTGTCAAAAAAGCTTTCTGAATCCACTGTGATTCAAAGCTGTAAAACAATAAAACATGATAGGGTGGTGGTTCTTCGCTGCACTGAGATAGTTAAATAGATGGAAAACAAACCTGTAAGCAGCCTTTGAACATGTATAAAAGGTGTGTGTGGGGCGGAGGGGCGAGCGAACGCCCCTTGCCATCCGCCGTGCTTCTGAAGGATACTCAGACACCGAAGAGCTGACTGATGGCAGCCTCCATAATAACGTTAATGCAGTCTCATAAAACATGTGCCTTCTTGAGGAGGAACCGAGATGGAAAGACATTGCATGAAATATAATATGTAAATCATGCCATATGCTCCAGTGAGGGCTTCAGTATACATTCACCGTTTCACCAAAAGTGCAGGATCAAATCGATCGCATGATGAGTTATGCCCTACAGCAGAGGTAAATGAAGAATATACCGACTACTGATGTAATATCGAAATTGTTAAGAAAGAGCTCTAAAAAGACTGTCTAAGAAAGGCAGGAGGAGTTTTCTTTGTTTCTTCAAACTGCTTGACATTAGCACAGTTTCCATCTTGTTGCTTGGCAAAAAAAAAAAAAAAAAGAGTTACAAGGTCGTTATTAATGTCAGAGAAATTATGGAAGACATTTTAAGAGCCCGATTTAAAATGCAAGAAAGTGCACTTTGACAAGCATGTACATATATTCTAAACAGAAGACTTGCCTCCAGGCAGTTTTCCTCTAGTTCTTAGTAGCCTACATGTACAACCTGATGTCCATGTATAATGTAAATACCCATGAACACAGCGCAGTGCATTATTTACTCCCGTCTCTAAGGTACAGGAGCTCTAAGGGATGCTACTGTAACAAACACCAGGAGAGAGGAGCAGACATGTAAACAGCTCCCTAATTGGCTGGCTGAATAATCACCTGATCTCCCCATAGGCAATATTGTGGAGTGTGATCCTCAAACACTGCCTCATTCTGCCCCAGAGCCAGGGAAATTCCGCTTTTGCTGCCGGCGTGTCTGCTTTGATAATGGTGATTCAAAAAGAAGTGCTGCTCTGTGCATTGTTTCTCCTGAGGAGGAAGACCCCTCCCCCACATCTCCACTGCTCTGGCATTTTATTGGCTGAACAAACTCATTCTGCTCTGATGGCTGTATGATATTTATCAGACAAATATGGAAATATCCTCCCAGGGGTTAAAAGGCTTCTGGGAAGCTGAGCATGCATGTGATTTCAAAAGGTTAATCCTCCAAATACAAACAATAAAAACCTTGACATTGACCGATTCTAACAGTGCATGGGATACGTTTCTGCACTGTAAATATTTTCTAATAACTGATTTGGAGGGCAAGTAACACCGCAGTGCTCCTTCACACAGCTTGTTGTGCATTTCCAGTAATGTGGATTGCAGGTGCACTGTAAGAGTTCATGTTGGTGACCCAGAGTGCTCTGGAAATGAGGCATAGTTACAGTAATTCAGAGTTCCTTGGCAAACTTCTCTGCAAGGAAGCGAGAACCAGCACAAATTGGTAGTTGGGAGGCTTTTCAGCGATTACGTCTTTGTTAGTGGCTACAGACGGCGGCAACAACAGCTTGCAGTGCATCTGTAAAGTATTGTAATCAATAAAGCCTTTGTGAATAAAAGGGGAATGATTTAAGAACACAATCAATTTTGCCCAATGAGCAGAAAGAAAAGATGGCGGTCTGAAGCGTGATGATTAGAGCCATTGATGACCTGAAAACAATCTGTCCATGACCATGATAGCAGACCGAGCCACCACTTAGTTCCTCCATCAGCCTGTCGTTTTATCTCTGGCTTTATGAAAGTAATAGCAACCTGATGTGGGTGAACAAGAGCCGAGCTGGATGTGTATGCACGTCTGAAGAATGCGGCATGACCTTGCGAGCATTTTAAACGCCGCGTCTTAGCCCCTCAGACTTGACTTCTCCCTGCCTTCCGCTGAAACGTACATAAAGTGATGTAAAGTGAGAACCCTTGAAGACTATTCCTTTCAATTAAAGAGATTCCATCACTTCGTATAAAGAGCATGACACCTAAAAGTGCTGTTAACAGCCTTCAGCATAACTTTGTTAGGTTATCGCTGTTGTGTTGATTAGTTGTGAAACACGTTTGGAGAGATCTAGACCGACCATTGTCATGCATTTTATAAGAAGAGATGAGCGTCCTTTAATGCATACGTCCAGAAAATAAAACTAAAAACATTATTCTTCTAGATGGCTCAGATGTCATAATAAATAAAGTATTTCATACTCTACTATCAAGCCTATCAGTGGTGAAACTAATGGATGATTACAAAATGGGTCTTATTTTTGTAGATTTTCGTAGCATTTGGCAAGTTAATAACTGAACGAAGCAAGAAGCGCAACAACAAATGATCAGACACGTTTAACACAAACCTCTGGGTTAGCCAAATTCATGTGGAAGAGAAAGCGAAGTGTAAAGAAGGTAAAATGATTAATTATTAGTCCGTTAACATTCATCACAGCTTACACACGGACATCTTGGATTAACTTTGACCGACCAAATTGTCGTAGTTTTGGGTTTTCCTGTGCATTGAGGGGATTACCAATATTTCGGTACATTTCAGTGTGTTTTTATATTTAGTTTCAGGTGAGGGGTTTCATTGATGGGAGGGGGTGCCAATTATGTTGAGTGATTAAGAATCTGCTGGAGTCCTTTGGGTGTTTGACTGTCTGTATGGTTAAACTAGACTCTTAGAGATGTGAACACACACTTTTGATTATTGCAATTCAGAAAGGGAGCATGATTTCCTGTCTCTGCTGATGTGGTTGATGAGTATGGGGTTTTTTTGTAATGTGCTTTATGCCCTAAAGTCAATTATTGACTCAGGTGTTTGGGGTGTTTTGAGCTGTCGATTATCATCTGTGCACCAGGTAACGTCTTACTTTACCTGTTTAGTGTCTTTTATTGTTTTGTAGAGGTTAACAGAGATCTGGTTTATTTTACCTCCAAATAAAGCATGTTTTTCTGAGTCGATATCATCATGTTCCCAAATAGTTTTTCTGAGTACGGTGTTATCATAATCGAAAGAAATCGTATCAAAAAATACAAAAATAAGACCCAAGTTATGATAAACTAACTTCCCTTTACTGCCTGAAATAAATGCAGTGCCTCTATTCGTCGACAGCCTTTGAACACGATTGAACATTTGGATTTCAGATTAAGCCTCCGGATTAATGAGGATGTTGGTGGATGATATCTAGCCGCAGAGAAAAGTAATGTAACTTTGTTGAAGCCATCCATCTCGATGGATCCTACAGCTTGCTGTGGCAAAAAAAAAAAAGAAAATAGATGCACATTTTCCATTTTCAGAAACCTTATCTGGTACATTCTAGATAATAGAGTAAATTATTGTCACCCTCACACACAACTGCGTGTATTTTATTCTAGTTTGTTAGTGTCACAGCACCTGTAGTTGAATTATTCCAAACGTCATTCAAGGAACGGCTCAGACAGAAAAGGAGAATGATGACCAGACACAATCTCAACTGCCTTTTGGCACAGTGTAAATCAAAGACCAATCTGCCCCGACAGGTACAGCTTTCAGGACGGGATCCAACAGGGATTTCAAATACTCTAACCGGCGAGATAAAGCCCGGTGCCTAAAGAATGTGTCCACCACGATTCAGAGAGAGAATAAAAAAAATAAAAAGTTTTTAAAAACTGATGGTTTGAGTGCCTGTCGAAAAGCTCACGTTGAGTGCATTTTAATGGCCAACATTTTCGGCTTCACTTTCTCTCCAGTTTCTTGTGGAGAGAAAAAAAAAAAAAAACACACATTCTGAAGAGGACAATGAGAAGCAAAAGATAGGCTTGTCTAAAAATATGAAGAGGCCAAAGAGTCACTGTGAATTCAACTAAGGCCCGGTACCAAGGGATGAGGACTATATTGCAGCCGAGTTGTTATTTACCCCAAAGTTAAGACAGCATACTTTCAGTTTTACATTGCACCGCAAACGCTAAAACCAGCAGCTATTTTAGCTGTAACTCATCTGAACCGCATCAAACGCATGAAAGTTATTTTCATCACATTGACAACAATTTTCTCTGTATAACTAACACTGAAGTATTATGCAGATACATTTCCAAACAGTTCTGCAACATTCTTAGAAGTAAATTAACTTTGAAAAGGATATAACGAGCAAATAGAGAAACCACCTCGAGATCCATCAGTCAGCCATCATGTGACGGACAACAACAAAAGGTCACTTAATATAGTAGATCCATAGCTGGAGAGGGATGCCCTCTGATATAATAACCAACACATTCTCGCTCCCAACTTATCAAAAACCAACGCTTAGTCAGTGGCTTTAAACTTCAGACTGTGACGCTTTAGGTACCCCTCTAGTGTCTGTGGGAGACGTGTCACTTTCTATTCCTTTCATGCGTGTCTTTTCAAAATACACTTTCATCTTCACAGGAAGTTTATGCAATAAAACCACTTAGATTTAGGAAAGGAGTGTAGTTGATGTTAACCTGACTGACTAAAGGACTCGCGTCACTACCGAGTGACCAACGACTGACGTGACAAAATGTCAACGTTCACTTTCGGTTTTGCATGAGACAAACGGCGGTATCCTGGACACGAGTCCTGTATTTGTTTGACTCCTCCACCTCCCCTCCCACCTCTCTATACTACGCAGTTGCTCCGAGCGTCTAATCACGACATGGATGAGTTTACACCGGCGTTAGAGGAAAACCCCATGTGGTGGTTTCAAGGACACTGGCCAACCATCGGTATTTGACGAGTCGGAAGTGAGACCGGGTTGAAGTAACACCCTGTATTGGATCCATTTTCAGTGGTGCACACTATGGTCAGCTGCATCCAGCCATTATTTCCAGATAGAGCAGTGGTGTGGGGCTCCACTGTGACATCGCTGACCCTCACAGGTAGAAGAAAGTTTAAGTATATGACAGCCGAGTGTAATGAAAAAACACTTTTGGACTCTTAGAGGCAGAGGAGGTAAACAAGACAAGCTCAGAGTGGCACTTTCATCTGTCTTCTCTCCTAATTGGATCCTCTGCACACATTCCCATCGGAGGATCTGCATCTCCTCATACACACGCCACATTTACCTTCCTCACACACACACACACACAGCACATTTGCCTTTATGCGTTTACTGCGTCTCTGTATGACAGCCAGAGCTTTGCCCTCACATTTATTTGCATTTCCTCTCAACCCACCAAGTGTCTGATGCCGCTCCTTAAACATCAAACGAAGCACCAGGAGGAAAAGATGTGGTTCCATCTAAATGAATATAAACCCTCAAAAACGGTGTTACAGACACTGTGCAGTCGGGCTATTAGTGGTGTGCTCGAGATTCACCCTATCAAGGCAGAGCCGAAAACACGAGGCAGAAAGGACAATTACTGCACATCAAACAAGCTTACAATTAACGCTCGATATTAAGAGATTACTTCTGGTTTTTTAATCAAATAAACCTGTTTATTGTTCTGTCTCGTGTTTTTTGTCTTCATCTTTTAACTTGTTGATTAACACTTGCAATAGATATTTGTGTATTGTTTTTCATAAACTGTTATAATCAAGATACCCAGGCTGTCTATAACATTTTTACTTAAACGTCCGTGTAACAGTATAGAATATAATAATTGCCTGATAATATAATAAACAGGCAAAATGCAATGAAATTCTTTTCCTCAATTCTTTAAATGATTTGAGGCATAATAAAACAAACTGCTTGTTAATGAGATCATTGTTAAAACCTTTTTTATTATTATTATTTAGGTAGGAGTTTTGTTATTTTACTATAATTAGAAAGAAGCATCACCTTCTCCATCTAAATGAAACAAAAAACAAATGCAGAAATCAGAGGAACAACCGCTGTTTAACAGCCTCGTTGTCAGCCAATCGAATCATAACTTCAGACCGAATTGCTCATGTGCAGTGATTTGAACTGCGGGCATCCAGAGAAAACTAACAAACCCTGTCTGCGTTTTGGCTCGCCGTCACATCATTTAAGGCATAGCTGAAGAAGCAACACAGCTTCGTATCCGTGCAGCAAACTGTTGGCGGTGGCTCCGGTGGGCCCCAGAAGAGAGTGATGTCCCGTTATAATAAATACAAATCTGTCAGCTTTCAGTCCCCGTTCGCATCCCTGATCATTAAACCTGCTGTAATCACAACTGGGGAACTCATTAAATTCCTCTGTGCTGCTCGCTGGGAAGACAGACAGCCAATACCTCTAAAGAGAGCGCTTTCTGAATCACTGGGCTCTGCTTTTATTTCTCTGTAATAGCGCACCGACACCCCCATAAACAACTGACTCATATTCCTCTCAACAGTGACTGCTCATATTACATCACAAAGTATTAGTCTCTGCCATCACAATCACAGGTCTTTACAAATCACATTTACTAAAGTCTGACACCGTTTTGCACTTTCCATGACACGGCCACTGTGACAGGGTTAACAAATAGTCCCCAACAAATGCAACATTTGCTAAAAACTACAGGGGATATTTCTTTATTGTTCATAAGAAATGAATTAGCCTTTAAACAACAACTATATAATCATGATAGGTTTTTCAAGATTAACATTTTCAGTAAAACCAAATGGACAGGAGAAGTAGGAAAGTATTAAAGGACGGACTAATGGGCTATTGGTTTTGGTCTTTTCATGGAGTTTGTTGTAAGAAAGATAATAAGAAAAAGAAAATACTGAATATTGCTTTCAATATTCATACAGCCACTTAGAAAGTGCAGCTGATCTGATGAGAATGTGGTTCCCCGTTTTAGACAATCCTGCTATGAAGTGTCAGACAAGTGGAAATTTGGACTTATTTGTGGCGATAGATGAAAAGTTACAAAACAACCAAAGCAGATAAGATGTATCCTCTGAGGACCATGAATGTACCAAATAGTCGACCTGCCTCACCTCACTCTGGCCCAAAGTGCTGCACACACATACACCTTCCCAAACAGTGTGTGCACATGGATCATATAACTCCCATCTTTCCATGTCTGTCCCTTTTAACAAACATGTGCTGCCTCTGTTGAAATATCAACACTCAGTGGTTTTGTCATGATTGTCAAAGATTAGTCATGTTGTTGTATGAAATAAATGGCTAACAAAGACATCGTTACTCTGAGAGGTAGTGTGAGTGTGCACTGTGGTGTGACAGAGGAAAGCCAATGTCTGAAGATTTGAAAGGAGGGAGCAGTGACGTGAGAGATCAGACCTGAAAGGATACTTTCCAGGAGCTTCTGCGGCCACCCTGTAGTCCTGGAAGCTCTTACTTGGGTGGAAGTTGAAGATAAAGACCACATGTCCCCTGTCAAACACAATGACCTTGTCCTCTTCATGCTTGGCACTGACAAAGGCCTGGAGGGAGAAAAGAGGAAGAGAGAGAAAAGGCTAATAAAATATTTCCTCATGAATAGTCATTACCTTTCTCATCTTGGATTTAGAGAGTTATAATGGGGCACATTATATCAGTGGACTACACATTTCCAAATAGACTGAGCAACATTCCCACATTACATTCCAGGTGGCACTCATCAGCAGAACGCAGCGGCCCAGGATAGTGCGAGGCACACGCTGTCAGCTTTAGACAGCTGCACATGATAAAGCCACCACTCTCCCGCGGAGCGAGCTACTGTTAACGTGTCATTAGCAGAGATTATCAATGTCACCCAACCCCCCTATTTTTAGTGTCTTGTTCGCCAAGCCAATTTCACGGAAGCATATTCACGGCTGAACGAGAAGATAAGCACCCCTGCAACTGGACCGGCGGAGAAGACGGAGGTTAAGGAGTGAGGAGACGGGTCTTTTAGTAAACCCATTTCTACGTGAGAAGTCCGCACATTTGGAGCAATGTCAAGCTTTCTCTGGCTGCCTGTAACTGCTTCAGCATCGGAATCGAAACATAAACTGCATCCGCCGCGATGAACAAGTACAGTCGACTTATTCTCACTTATAAATAAATAAATGTAAATGCAATCAACAGACTTGGCGGTGATCATGAAATTATTGTGATTATACTCAGAATCTGTTGTTGGAAAAATACAAACGATCATCTAACCTATAATTTTCAAGTGTGCGACAAGAAAAATACCGCCCTAAGATAGTTGCATAGTTTCAACATTAGGCCTAAGGGTGTGTCAAGTTTCTGTCTCTGCATGCAGCAGCAGTCTGACCTGAAACAAGGCTTTTGGGAGAAACTAAGCCAATGAGAGCAGGGTTAATCCCGACAGTAGCCCCATTTGTGACCTCAGCAATGAAACTACCGTTCAAATGAAACATTTCCACAAACTGTGACCCTCCTAAGAGCTGCTTCTCTCCACTGGAACATAAGTTAAGTCCGCTGCAGGTGCAGACGGCACAGTTGGTGGAAAAACTGTATTTCAAACGTTGATTTCGGCAGAGCAAATCTTTTATGTATTGGGGGAGACAAGAGACATCACATTTCTCATTACATTACATTTAAAACCCTTTGCTGAATATCAGGTGGAAGATAATGTTTTATGTATTAGGGAATGCTATGTAACCTAATCATATAGAGAAATAAGCAATGACCTCAATTTAGAAAATACTTGTTTTAATGCCTTTTAATGAAAATGTGATTGTTGGTATACACAGACCACTTTTACTACTGCAAATTAAGATAGATTTAGGTTATAATACCAGTAAATTAAATACTCTAATGGATAACTGTAATGGTTTGCATCCCAGTTAAGTAATGCTGGAATAAGTAGAACACAGACGACTCTGGGTGCCATTCGTGTACTGGTTTATTTACATTTCATCACAGAGGAACAACTCGAGTGATGCTATCTCGGCACTTACTGGAGCTTCTGCTTATGTCCAGAGTTTGGCCTTTTAAAGCTCACAGCTGCACATCTTCAAAGAGGCATGCACAAATCACACTTTTAAGCAGAGTCCCAGCATGTTTCCGTTTCAGCTTAGTTCACTTACACCATGGGACAACAGGGAGAGTTGCCGGTACATCCTCTGCTTCTCATTTAAACTACAAATCGCCCTTGGAAGCTCCCACCACAGAGCTGTATTGAACCCAGCTATAGAATATTCCCTCTAAGCACAATTACCTTGGCAATGTCACTGATAAGCTGTACAGAGGATTCACTCTCATCTGGTTATTATAGCAGAATGTCTGAGTAGTTATTGGCGTTATCTGTGACTGATGTTCTACAACGTCTTTTTTGTGATATTGCATCAATCCTTGAATAAGCCATTTTTGTCTCCGCGGCTTTCGAGCACTGACCGGAGCGCAGGGTCAGCTACAGAAACTGATTTATTATCTATTGCTTCAGTCTGGTTTAGGCTTTACATATTGGATATTTTGATTCATGAGTCTACTTTGACTCCATCTCTTCCCTCTCGTCATTTATAGTCTTTTAACACCAGTTGCACAGACGTTCTGTCTGTGTATTGTCTGCTCCTCATTGTAAACAGGACTAACCCATTTTAAGTGGTTTTGGAATAGGCCTTAATGTGCCTTGATTCAGACGAAGACCCAACTGTAGATGTACTTTGTAGCAGCAGTTACATTGTGACAATCTGGTTCAAAATTTCTGAAACTGTAAAAAAAAAAAAAAAATTCAGTGGTTGTGATAGCTTTTGAATTATTTTGTTTTCTTGTGAGATTTAATTTTTTTTAAATTTAGAGGCAAAAAATATTTGTTGAAATCCTGATAACATCCTGTAAAGAAGAATCAATTGGCAGCTCAATGTTACAACAGAACTTTGTCTCACGTGTGACCAAAAACATAATTTCATGATAATAGCAAAGGAAAACATGATAAATAATTACACGCACATCTGCTCTGGCATTTCATGTGATGCATCTACTGCCCGAATTTAGTGTTTTTCTCAAGTACACTATAAAAGAGTAAACTCAACGCATCTGTAGTAAAGCCCAATATTCAGGAATTGTCCTGGTGATGGATGGTCTTCCTGTTCCCTAGCAGCCAAGAGCTTTACGCATAGTGACAACCTTAAGACTGCTATTATATAATATAATATAATATAAGAGAATAAATTTATACATGGTGTCTTAAGTAAACTTTGTAGAGCTGTCATCCAAGTGGGTTCACATATTGAAGGCACTGAAAAAGCCAAGAAAAACAGCACCCAATGTGTAGCAGGTCAGCAATGGTGCCAAATGTATGCATCTTCCCTGCCAGCTGCATCCTTTGGGATCAGCACCCCCCCCCCCCCCACAAAGGCGCTCAGAAATCAGGCTCTGACATTTTCCTTTTGCCTCACCTCGCAACGCTCCGTTTCATCCGGGTGTAAAGAGTGTAAACGGTTCCCCTGAGTCAGAACACACTTCTGATTGATAGGCCAATATACAGAAATGATACGTGTGAACCAGACATGTCCCTAATTATGCTCTCTGATACATGTTCTCCTCTGCTGCATTTGTCCGTCTGTCTGCCGAGGAGAAATACCCAGGCCAGAGTGTAATGCAGCAAGGTGAAGTAGCTCTAATCCGACGACCGATTCCCGGGGATGTGAGGGAGGGTATTTTTGAATCAATTACACAGACTCACTTCTAATCCCTGTCAATTTAGCCACACTCTCCATTTGCATTATCCCATTACTTTGCTACCGGCCCCTGAAGAGAAAAAACATAATTTCTTTTTCTCTCGTGGGCTTCAAATGTAGGCAAAGAGAGAAGCTGCCGGATGAGAGTGAAATCTATTACTGTTCACCTTGACAGCAGCCAGAGAAACAGACATCTTCAAAATGAACTCTCCTTATGGTGCATTTATCACCACCTGCCTGACTACTCCACTGTGGAAAGAAGAAACCTGTAAAGGTGTGGAAAGATGGTGGCTTTGGAAATACATTCATTCTTGAAAAATAATCTTATCAGAGCTAAATCATTGTATGAACAATTTGCTGGGACACTAGACATTATCAAATATTCTGTATGTGACTCAAGAATGGTGCTGTGACATTATATTGTCATGTGATTTTGTCATTGAGAGTGTCTGCACAATGCCTACTGTACAGTGAGCGTGTGATGTCCTTACAGGTGGGGCAGCCAGCCAGCCGTACTTGTCTTCGGTACGGTTCATGTCCCGGTCAAAGGCGTAGAGCTGATGGTAGCGGAGTTGATCCTTATCCAATAGGTTAAACTGCCGCCGGGCATAGTGGTAACTCTGATTGTTCCCCTCTCTGGGGAAATCCAGCCACTCAGGATGGCCGAACTCATTCCCTGCAACACAGAGTGAGTTATTAAAGAACGTACATAATGAAGGGAAAGGCGCACAGTCTCTGTGAATTAGCATACTCTATCGTGCCGCGCTATGAGAGGTTCTTTTTCCGGGTTTTGTGCATTTTTTTTTAACCTGACAAAAGAAGACGGATCAAAGCGACCAGAGCCGGCGACAGTCTGCGACCTTCGTATAACCCCAGCAGAGGTTAGTACTTTCCATATTAAAACAGAGCCACAATGCTCCTGCAATGTTTTCACCATCTACAGCAGGGGTGTCCAAACTTTTTTCAAAGAGGGCCAGATTTGATCATGTGAAAATGCCCAAGGGCCAACAGTCCCTGCTGACATTATTTTAAACAATACAAGTAGCCTATACATACATTGTTAATCATTTTGTTTTCAATGACAGCAAATAGCAATGTAACCAAATGTAAGCATTCATGTGTGAACTCATCTCAACAACTATTCTGCGTTTCTTTCACATCTTGAAAGTCAGATGACACAAAGAAGAAGCCATTAAAAGCTAATTACATAGAAACCGATCAATATTCTCACCTCAAGACAATCTTAAATATGACTTAGTGAGGGTAATGAAAAGTTGTCTCACATTTAAGTTCAACACACATGAAACAGGCTAACGAAAAACATCAAGTTGTCTCTTAGTATGTGATGATAGCTCTTCAGTGTTACGAGCCAGGCAAACATTAGCAAACTCGGTCTTCTTCTCGGGGCAATTATGTTTTCTGCTATTTTCATAACAGTCTTTGATAAACTCACCTTCCGTCAAAGGTTTGTCATGTTTAGCAGTTAGCATGGCCACTTGGTAGCTTACTTTGATGATGTTTTCATGTGAAAAGGACCGCTGCTGTGTGGCCAAGTTATCTTGGAGTTGCTTCACTTTTCTAGCTCGGTCGCTCTGATAGCTTGTTGTAGCATTAGCATGTTTGGTCTCGTAGTGTCTCTTTACATTATATTCCTTAAACAAGGCAACAGTCTCATGACTAATTGGGCAGACACAGTTGTTTCGGTTTTCGGTGAAAAAAATATTGCGATCTCCATCTCTCCTGGAAGCCGCGGCCCTCATTATCGACTTTCCTTTTTTTACTTGCCGTAACATGACAGGTCAAGGGTCAGAGCCAATTTCAAACAGCCAGACAGTTACAGAGTGGTGCTGCCACCATGAGGTAAAAAGAGGAATTGCATGTTGAATTTGTATGATTTATTCATTCCGTTTCGACTGTGCTGGCGGGCCATAAATAATGCATTTTAAGACAGAAGGTGCGGGCCATATAAAATCTGACCTCGGGCCGTGATTGGCCCGCGGGCCGGACTTTGGACATGCCTGATCTACAGTGTGCCAGCCTTCCCGTCACCCAGGACCATGCCCTTTCATGAATAAAACTTGAAAAAACCTCCAACACCACGAGTGAAAACATTGCAAATAAATCCCAGAGCTATCATTCGAGTCTCACTTCAACAAATTTATGCAAAAATAATCCACCAGGATATATTTATATATATTATTTCTCCATAATGAAGAGCAAACTACAAGCCTATGCTGGAAACAGGGAGAAACTGATCAGAGCTTTTCATTCATCCGACACAAATAAGGAAGGGAATTCTCCAGGAGATCTCTCTTGATCACAGTGTTGATTAATTCATATTTATTACAGCATTAACTAAATATTTGAATTTGTCTGCAGCCTCACAACCACCAGAACTGCAGCACTTTTCATGCAACTACTCAGGAAGATTGTTCCTGTTTCTTTAACATCTTATAATTGAGAGGGAAAGCCAGCGAGGGCTCGAATAAAGAAAAAACTTCAGACTAGCAGCATCAATGGAGGAGTCACGCAGTCCAGATGCAAAGCTGAACGCATACTGTCGAAGTGTAGGAAATAGCGGCCTTCTTGCTACAATGCTGTCACGCCCGGAGATGAGATAATGAATCCGTCATCAGATGTCACCACAACATCATAAAACAACAGCCAGGATAATTGAATTCCTGGCAAAGGAAGAAACGCACAGACAAGAGACAGAGTAAGATGCATGACAAGAAGAAGAAGAATAATACAGGCTAGTTGTTTGTGGTGCCAAGAGCCCCCACCCCCTGAAGAAGAAAAAAATAAATCAGAGTGATGGGATGAAGTGGAACAGACAGGGGCTGACAGCAGATTCTAATGAAATACATTATGTAGGTGTTAAAGAAGTAGCAAACAATAAGGCACGGACTGCCAACAGAACAAGCCCACTGCAGCACTTGCCTAGGAATTAGGGCAGCAAAGACAAACACAGAGAGGGAGGGAAGGGCATAGAGAGAGAGAGAGAGAGAGAGAGAGAGAGAGAGAGAGAGAGAGAGA